GAAGTTGATCTGAGAGCTTACCTGGTCATAACAAAAGCAGAATGCTGGTGACCTTAATTTTGACTATCTGATCAAGGTGTCATTTGATTTCTTCATTTAGTTACTTCTTTCCCCTTGAAGTCAATAAGGAAATAAAAATTTGCCCCCTATATTTAACATTCATTGATGATACATGCCTGAGTCAACCTTTACTGAGGCTTGAAAAAAATGAGTATTTTTCCAACTCCAGCACTCTCTCTATATTTAACAACTGGCATTAAGCATTCTAGGAGAAAGTGCCCTCTCTTCTTCTCTCTCCCTCTCTCTCTTTTTCTCTACACACGCACACACACACACCCACCCCACAAATGGGTTCATGAATTCTCATTTTATCTTTTTCTTTTTGAGACGGAGTTTTGTTCTTGTCTCCCAGGCTGGAGTGCAATGGCACAGTCTCAACTCACCGTAACCTCCGCCTCCCAGGTTCAAGCAATTCTCCTGCCTAAGCCTCCCCAGTAGTTAGGATTACAGGTGTGTGCCACTATACCCAGCTAATTTTTGTATTTTCAGTTAGAGACAGGGTTTCACCATGTTGCCCAGGCTGGTCTCAAACTCCTGACCTTAAGTGATCCACCTGCCTCGGCCTGCCAAAGTGCTGGGATTACATGCATGAGCCACTGCGCCCAACCGGATTGCCATTTTTTTTTAATGGTTTATGCTTTATTACTGTTCTTAATTATGTTGGTGCTCAACTTATCCCAGATGTGGCTGGTGGGAACCCTTTTAAGAGGGTTCCTACATCCTGTGACATGCTCCCACCTTCTTCCTTTGTTTTTTTCAGTACTAGATGTTCCAAGCTCACTTGTTCTTACCCTGCCCCTCTCCGGGAATCAGCCCTGATTCTTCTCTGAAGAGTCTTGGCATGCTCATGCTAGTGGGATGTCTTTATTTCTAGGCCCCATCTGCAGACAGAGCTAGCATGTATATATATATATATGTACATATATGTGTATACAAATATATATACATAAACAAATATATTCAGAAATCACGAGTCCAATACCTCCAATTCCAATCCATCCCTATAGGGGTTCTTTCTTGCCTTCCTCACTCTGTACTTGTGTGTTTCTTCTTCTACACTTAGAACCCTGGCTCCACCAACGTTAACATGTGGACCCATTTACTCAATCCTATAAAACATCTAAAGCAGCTTCAGTACTGTTTTGCCCATTCCATTACAAAACAACAACGACAACAACAAGTTTAGTATGTGTTTATAGTTTCTCTCCCAGCTCCACCTAAGACTAAACATGTATAGTCAAATGCTATATTCATAATTTACTTGAATTAGCTTTTTTAAATCCCTTCAGTGTGATTTGAAATACAATTCATCTGTTTCCATTAGTGCTCCCATCCTTATTGGTTTCATTCTATTTTTTGAATATGTAGAATATTCACGTTTCCAAAAGTCAGAACTATACCAAAAAGGCATGCTCAGGGAAATATCATGTGCTCCCAAAACTCTTCTGCCCTCTCATATCCTCCACCCCACCCCATGCAGTCAATAAATGTCTTTTGTTTTCTAGCCAGTTCTTCTTGTGTTTCTTTTTTGTAAAGATAAGTAGATACAGTTGATCACTGAACATGTAGAGGCTGGAGTGTTGACCCCCTACACAGTCAAAAATCCACATAGAACTTCTGCCTCTGCAAAAACTTAGCTGCTAATAGCCTACTGTTGATCAGAGGTCTTAATAACAAAGTCGATTAACACATATTTTATTTGTTATATGTAGTAATACTGTATTTTTACAATAAAGTAAGCTAGATAAAAGAAAATGTTATTTAAAAATTGTAAGAAAGAGAAAATATATTTACTATTAAGTGGAAGTGGATCATCATAAAGGTCTTCATCCTCATCATCTTCACACTGAGTAGGCTGAGGAGGAGGAGGAGGAGTGAGAGGAGGAAGAGAAGGGGTCAGTCTTGCTGTTTCAGGGGTGGCAGAGGTGGATGAGGTGAAGGAAGGGGAGGTAGGAGAGGCAGGGACACTTGGTGTAACTTTTACTGAAAGAAAATCCGTGTATAAATGGATCCACGTAGTTCAAACCCATAATGTTCAAGGGTCAACTGTATGTTTTTCTTATTTCCCCTTCCTTCTTATATAAAACATAGTATATGGTAATGATCATTATATTTTTTGCTTTTTTTTTCATTTAACAATATCTCCTGGAAATCTCTCCCTATTAATTCACAGATATCTCAATCTTTATTCTTTTATTTATTTATTTTTTTTAGAGCAACAGGGTTTCGTACTGTCACCCAAGCTGGAGTGCAGTTACGCAATCATAGCTCACTGCAGCCTTGAACTCCAGTTTCAAGTAATCATCCTACCTCAGCCTCTCAAAATGCTGGGATTAAAGGGTGAGCCACTGCACCCTGCCTGAATCTTTATTCTTTTCTACAGCTACATGGTACTCCATTATGTTACATACCATAGTTCATTCAGCCAATCTCCATGACATTTAAGTATTTTCCAATGATAAATAATGCTGCATTGAATAATCTTGTGCATATGTATTTTCATATTGGAGCTGTATTCAAGAAAATCCCTAGAAGTGGGATTTTTGGTCAAAGGGTAAATACATGTAGTTTTGTTAGATAGTGTCAAATTTCTCTCCATAGGTATTGTATCATTTTGCATTGCCACCCACAGTATGAGTGCCTATTCTATCATAGCTTTGCCAATCGGTTGTATTGTTAAGCTTCTGAAGTTTTGCCTGACAGGTAAGAAATGGTATCTCAGCATAGCTTTGATTTGCATTCAAGTGAAACTGAACATCTTTTCATATGTTTAAGGGCAATTTTAATATCTTATTGTGATTATCTGTTTGTGTCTTTTGGCTGCTTTTCTACAGATTTTTCTATTGACCAGAGATTCTTAGCCTGGGGTCTACGGAGGTGAAAACAGGTAGAATTCAGAGGATGTCTGTGACTTTAACTTGAAAAAAAATGTGTTTTTATTTTTTACTAACCTCTAACTGAAATTTAGCATTTCCTTTATCTTTCTTTTTTTTGAGATAGATCTTGTTCTCTTGTTCAGGCTGAACTGAATGACCAGTTCATGAGGTTCATGGCTCAATGTAGCCTTAAACTCCTGGGCTCAAGTGATCTTCCCACCTAAGCCTCCTGAGTATCTGGGACTACAGGCATGCATCATCATTCCTGGGTAATTAATTTTTTTGTAGAGATGGGGTCTCACTATATCTCCCAGGCTGGTCTTGAACTTGAAGGTCTCAAGTGATCCTTTCCCCTCCACCTCTCAAAGTGCTGGGATTATAGGCATGAGCCACCACACCTGGCTGCTTTATTATCATTATTATTTTTGAGACAGGGTCTCACTCTGTCACCCAGGCTGAAGTGCAGTGGCATGATCTTGGCTCACTGCAGCCTCAACCTCCTGGGCTCAAGTATTCCTCTCACCTTAGTCCCCCTAGTAGTGGGGACTACAGCTGTACACCACCATGCTCAGCTAATTTTTGTATTTTTTTGTCGAGATGGGGTTTTGCCATGTTGCCTAGGCTAGTGTCAAACTCCTGAACTCAAAAAGAGCCACCCGTCTTGGCCTCTCAAAATGCTAGGATTACAGGTCTTTGTCACTGTGACCGGCCCGGCATTTCATTTAATTATAAATGTAGAAAATACATTCATAATTTTATCATATAATTAGTGTCATATCATAAGTAATATCAGCACTATCTATACTTTACTGCCAGTAGAAATCAGACTAATCAGACAATTTTATGGTTGTAGAATATCTTTAAATTATTGTTTTCACTCATCACTACTTTAAATTAAAGACATACAGAACTGCTACCACATTGCATGATTACAGCGTTCCTGTCTGCAGATGCTTGCTTATGTGATGGAGCTGGGCAACTATCAAGCAGCTCTGCATCTAACAGTCACTCAGCCACCAAATAGAGATAGTCACAAGGCTCTCGCATTGGGGACCAAGATATTTATGCTGCTTTCCAATACTTCCTGTCTGCAAAATTCCCTGCTGACATATCTGAAAAAAGATATCTATGAATCAATCCTTGGAGAAGTTTTATAACTCCCAAATTTATTTCTATTACCAGGTGATCAAAGTGTATCATGTATCAGAATCCTTTTTATTAATATAAATCATATTAAAAATGTTGACCTAGCCAAAGATGAATTCATTGATCTTAAATCAAAACAATTACTATGACTGGAGTTAAATTTGAAAAGTCTTGGAGAATTCTAGTTGTCCTTTAGAGAAGCTTATCATTCCTTAAAAAGCAAGCTACAAATGTGTTTAAGTACGTTTGTAAGAAAATACCTTTGTAAATCAAGATTTTCTACACCAGTAACCATCAGAACAAAAACTCAAAATCAACTAGATGTTCAACCTGACATACATGTTGCCTTCTTACAGACTACCTCATAATTTAATGTTCTTAAGCCAAGCATAGTACTATGTAAAAGCTAGCATACTAATGTACTAGAAAATAAAATTCAACTCTAACTTCCTTAGGATTTAAATGTATTATTTCATTATTTAATGCACTGATAAAAACATACCTTACTATATCACAAATTTGTTCTGTTTTAGTAACTATATTTCAACATAGGTGGCTTTTTCTGTAATCCTATGTACTATGTTTTGTATATTTAAAAATAATATTCCAATAAAAAGTCCACAGTCTTTAGACTGCCTAAGGGCTCCACAGCAAAAAACTAAGAACTTCTGCCCTAGACTCTCAACCAAATGTGACAGCTTTAAGACAAGCAAAGTAATAAACCACTAAACACTTCCTTGTTCCACATGCCACAACTCAGTATCTCTCCCCACTTAGTTAAATGTTCACTAGAATCTGAGAAGACAAAGAGTTTTCGCACTAAATATAGCCACTGATACAGACTGAAATATTTGATCATTTGTAACTTTCTAAACTGCAAATTTATTGCACTGCCCAGAAAGCCTTGGAGCCACTCACCGTCAGTAGAATGCACATGGGAGTTACCAATCTGGTCCACCAGCAACATGAAAACGAAGCCCAGTACGAGGGAAACACCAATGTAGGCATGTAGCTGTGTGTGGTCGTGGCTGTGCTCATGTTCATGGACAACTGACATTTCTGCTGCTTTGTCTGATGCAATCACATTATGTGTTTCACTTGCTTGGTGGTGTTTTCCTAGAGCAGAATAAACCATAAAGAGAAAAAATGTTTTTCCCCTAAAACCATTTTCATGAAGAAGTTTCCATTCTTTGTATTTCAAGCTCTACTTACTTTACTGTAAAGACATCCACTTTCTATATTGTAATCCAGCCAATCATTAACTCCTTCAACTTAAAGTTCATGGTGAAAAAATTCCCAAATGTCTTCTGCCTTTGGCATGCAGACCTTCTGACTGCCTATTATTCTCAAAACCTGGGAAGTGGAAGCAAATCACCATGCAAGAAAGCAATCATATTCCCAAAGGGACATCATCCCTAAATCTTCCTCTGTCTGAGAAATTCATGCCAATCTCATCAGAAACTACACTGTTTTATTCTGATGAAAATAGGCGAATGAAAAGCAGTAACAACAAAAATAATTACAAACAAATTCATCTAGTTTATACCTAGGTTGATACAAACATTTCAAATAAGGAACCAATTGAGTAGAAAATTTTTAGCTTTATAAAGTATCAGCAGACAATCGCCAGCAAGAAACCAAAAGGACAGAGCAGTTTAAGAGGCACATCCTTCAATCTAAATTCATTTCTAGAAATATGGAGGTTGAGAGACTCTGAATTGCAGTAAATGACACCTGGCCAGTTGAAAATCCCAGTTTACGGTAACATATTTTCATTTAAAATATAAATGCTTCAAGGCCAAAATGCTTATCTTTGCTGTATTTAAAAAGTAGAGAATAACATACTAGACATTTATAATTTATAATCAGGTTAAGCAGTTTAATCTTTTTTTAAAAAATTGAGATCTCATCGTTCACCCAGGCTGGAGTGCAGCAGTGGTGCAATCACGGCTCACTGTACCCTCGACCTCCCAGACTCAAGCAATCCTCCTACCTCAGCCTCCCAAGTAACTGGGAAACCACAGGCAAGTACCACAATAATCAGCTAATTTAAAATTTTTCTGTAGAAACAGGGTCTCCCTATGTTGCCTAACTGGTCTTGAAATCTGGGGCTCAAGTGATCCTCCTACCTCAATTTCCCAAAGTGATGGGATTACAGGTATGAGCCACCATGCCCAGTCTACAGACCCTGTCTCTTAAAAACAAAAACAAAAACAGGCTGGTCGCGGTGGCTCATACCTGTAATCTTAGCACTTTGGGAGGCCAAGGCGGGCGGATCACAAGGTCAGGAGATTGAGACCATCCTGGCCAACATGGTGAAATCCCGTCTCTATTAAAAATACAAAAATTAGCTGGCTGTGGTGACGTGTGCCTGTAATCCCAGCTACTCAGGAGGCGAGGCAGGAGAATCGCCTGAACCAGGGAGTTGGAGGTTGCAGTAAGCCAAGATCTTGCCACTGCCCTCCAGCCTGGTGACAGAGCGAGGCTCTGTCTCAAAAAACAAAACAAAACAAAACAGTTTCACAAAATAATATCCAACCCTACAATAGTTATAATACACTCTTCTATTTCTTTCTTTCTTTCTTTCCCTCTCTTTCTTTTTGAGACAGGGCACAGCCCTGTCACCCAGACTGGACTACAATGGTGCAATCTCAGTTCACAGCAACCTCCATCTCCTGCACTCAAGTCATCCTCCTACCTCAGTCTCCCAAGAAGCTGGGACCACAGACACAAACTACCAAGTCCTGCTAATTTTTATATTGTTTTTCTGGAGATGAGGCTGGTCTCAAATTTTTGAGCTCAAGTGATCTACCCATGTTGGCCTCCCAAAGTGCTGGGATTATAAGGATGAGCCGCTGTGCCTGGAACTATTCTTTTCTTTTTGAGACAGTCTTGCTCTGTACCCAGGCTGAAGTACAGTGGCATGATCTCGGCTCACTGCAACCTCTGCCTCCAGGGTTCAAGTGATTCTTATGCTTCAGCCTCCGGAGTAGCTAGGTTTACAGATACACTACACAGTGAGTTCTTGTGAGATCTGATGGTTTTACAAGGGGCTCTTCCCCTCTTCACTTGGCACTTCTCCTTCTCACTGCCTTGTGAAGAAGATGACTTGCTTCCCCTTTGTCTTCCATCATGATTGTAAGTTTCCTGAGGCCTCCACAGCCATGCTGAACTGTGAGTAAATTAAACCTCTTTATAAATTTCTAACCTTTATAAATTACCTAGTCTTGGGCATTTCGTTATAGCTGCATGAAAATGGACGAATACACTGGGCATGGTGGTGCACACTTGTAGCCCTAGCTACTTGGGAGGGTGAGGTTGGAGGACTGCTGGAGCCCAGGAGTTGGAGGCTGCAGTGAGCTATTATTCTATGATTGTGCCCCTGTACTCCAACCTGGGCAACAGAGAGAGAGACCTTGTATCTGGAAAACAAATAAATAAATAAATAATTAAAATAAATCATTATATAAAAGAAACCTGCAACTTATATGTTTATTGCAGCACTATTCACAATAGAAAAGATTTGGAATCAAACTAAGTGTCTATCAATGGGTGAATGGATAAAGCAAACGTGGTAGATAAATATCGTGGAATATTATGCAGCCATAAAAATACACGAAATCATGTTTTTTGCTGCAGTGCAGATGAAACTGGAGGTCATCTTAAGTAAAACAACTCAGAAAGAGAAAGCCAAATACTGCATGTTCTCACTTACAAGTGAGACCTAAATAATGTATACACATGGACACAGCATATGCAATAGTAGACTTTGGAGACTTGGCAGCACGGGTGGGAGGAGGGTGAGGAATGAGAAATTACTTAATGGGTACAAGGTACATTATTTGGGTAATAATTTCACTAAAAGCCTAGATCTTACCACTACCCAATGTAACCATGTAACAAAACTGCACTTGTACCCCTTAAATTTACACCAATTAAAATGAAGAATCTTAAAGAGCTCTATTTTTATGAATAAATGTCAGGGCAAGAGTTAATAAGGGCAGATTAACCCATCCCTATTCATTCATTCATTCATTTTTCCAGATTTATTATCTGGAAAATCTTAAAGATTGGATAATACTCCATTCTGTGTGTGCATGCATGCGTATTACAATTTATCCATGCATCCACTGACAGACAGACACATTGATTTCATATATTGGCTCTCCTGAATACTGCTATAGTGAACATAAGAGCAGAGAGATATTGCTTTGAGATACTGACTGCATTTGTCTTGGATATATACCCAGAGGTGGGATTGCTGGATCACAGGTATTTATATTTTGAGTTTTCTAAGGAATCCCCGTACTGTTTTCTATAATGGCTGTTTTACATTTCCACCAACAGGGTACAAGGCATCCTTCTTTTCTACATCCTTGCCAACAGCTATCCTTTGTCTTTTTGATGACAGCCATTTTAACGGGTGTGAGGTGATATCTCACTGTATTTTTGATTTGCATTTCCCTGATGATTAGTGATGCTGAGTGTTTTTTCATATACCTGTTGGCCATTTGTATATCTTCATTTGAGCAATGTCTATTCAGGTCCTTTGCCCATTTTAATGTCTATTCAGGTCCTTTGAGTTGTTTTCTTGCTGTTGAATTGCTTGAGTTCCTTTATATTTTGGATATTAAAACCTTACCAGATATATGGTTTAAAATATTTTCTCCCATTCCATTGGTTGTCTCTTCACTCCGCTGATTGTTTCTTTTGCTGTGCAGAAGCTTTCTAGTTTGATAGAACCCTATTTGTCTATTTTTGCTTTAGTTGCCTGTGATTTGGGGGTCATATCCAAAACATCATTACCCATAAAAATGTTAAGAAGCTTTCCCCTGCATTTTCTTCTAATAGTCTTACATTTAAGACCTGAAACTGTACGTTTAAGTCTTTAATCCATTTTAAGTTCAATTTTGTATATCTTGTGAGATAAGGGTCCAGTTTTATTCTTCTGCATGTGGAAAGCAGTTTTCCCAAAACCATTTATGAAGAAACTACCCTTTCTCACTATGTGTTCTTGGTACCTTTGTCTACTACCATTTGACTGTAAACAAAAGGATTTATTTCTGGGGTCTCTTTTCTGTTGTATTGGTCTACATATTTATTTTATCCCAATACCATACTATTTTGATTACTATAGCTTTGTAGTATATTTAGAAATCAGGTAGTGGTATGCCTCCAGTTTTGTTCTTCTGGTTCAAGACTGCTTTGGCCTCAGGGCCTTCCATGGTTGCATATAAATTTTAGAATCGTTGTTTCTATTAAGGTTTATTTGTCTTACAGTTCTGCAGGCTGTCCAAGAAGCATGAATCTGAGGATCTCAGGAAGCTTCCAATCACAGCAGAAGGGGAAGAGGAGTCAGCATGTCACATGGCGAGAGAGGGGAGAGGTGCTATGCTCTTTTAAACAACCAGTTCTCCTGTGAACTAATAGAGGGAGAACTTACTCATTAGCAAGAGGACAGCACCAATACATGCATGAGGGATCCACCCTTATGACCCAAACACCTCCCGCAGGCTCTGCCTCCAACACTGGGATCAAATTTCAACACAAGATGTGGAGGCGACAAATATCCAAACCATAGCAAATGCCACTGGAATTGTGATGGGGTTGCATTAAATCTGTAGATCACTTTGGGTAGTATGGATATTTTAACAATATTAATTCTTCCAATTCATGAACATAGAATATCTTATTTATATCTTCTCCAATTTCCTTAATCAATGTTTTATAGTTTTCAGCATATAGATTTTTACTTCCTTGGTTAAATTTATGCCTAAGTATTTTATTTTCTGATCCTATTATGAATGAAATTGTTTTCATAGTTTCTTTTTCAAACAGTTCATTGTTAGTGTACAGAAATGCAAATGATTTTTGTACACTGATTTTATATCCTGCAACTTCACTGCATTTGCTTATTAGTTCTAATAATTTTTGGATAAGTCTTCAGGTATTTTCATATATAAGATCATCTCATCTAAAAAGAGACAACTTTACTTCTTCCTTTCCAACCTGAATGCCTTTTTTGTTTGCCTGACTGTTCTGGCTAAGGCCCCCTGCATTTTATTTAAATGTAGAGCCAAGTGACAAAAAATGCCACAGATTATCATACCTCTACA